ATTTTTATGGTTTCAGGTCTCACATTTAGGTCTTTAATCCATTTTGAGTTTAGTTTTGTGTATGATTTAAAGAAGTGACCCAGTTTCGTTCTTTTGCATGCAGCTGTCCAATTTTCCCAAAACCGTTTGTTGAAGAGACTGTCTTTTCCCCATCACATATTCTTGCCTCTTTTGTCAAAGACCATATAACTGTGGGCTTGTTTCTGGGCTTTTTATCCTGTTCCAGTGATCTTTGTGTTTGTTTTTGTGCCAGTGCCATGCTGTGTTGTTTACTATACCTTTGTAGTGTAACTTGAAATCTGGAATTGTGATACCTTTAGCTTTGTCTTTCTTTTTCAAGAGTGTTTTAGCTATTTGGGGTCTTCTGTGGTTCCATATAAATTTTAGGATTATTTGTTCTAGTTCTGTAAAAAATGCTGTTGATATTTTGATAGAGATTGCATTAAATCTGATTACTTTGTGTAGTATGGACACTTTAACAATATTTGTTCTTCCAATCCATGAGCATGGAATGTCTTTCCATTTCTTTGTGTTGTCTTCAATTTCTTTCATCAGTGTTTTATAGTTTTATGTTTTATAGTGTACAGGTCTTTCACCCCCTTGGTTAAGTTTATTCCTAGGTATTGGTGCAATTGTAAATGAAACTGCTTTCTTAATTTCTCCTGTTGCTGCTTCATTATTAGTGTAGAGAAATGCACTAACAGTTTTTTGGTGGAGTCTTTAAGGCTTTCTATACATAATACCATGTCATCTGCAAATAGTTGGAAGTTTTACTTCTTCCTTATCAATTTGGATGCCTTTGGGTGCCTGGGTGGCTCAGGTGGTTAAGAATCTGCCTTCAGCTTGGGTCATGATCTCCAAGTCATGGGACTGAGCCCCGCATAGGGCTCCCCGCTCAGCGGGGATTCTATTTCTCCCTCTCCCTCTGCCCCGTGCTCGTGCTTTCTCTTTTGCTCTATCTCAAATAAATAAAATCTTAAAAAAAAAAAAAAATTTGGATGCCTTTTATTCCTTTTTCTTACCTGATTGCTAGGACTTCCAGTACTATGTTGAATAACAGCGGTGAGAGTGAAGATCTTTGTCTTGTTCCTGATTTTGGAGAAAAGCTCTCAGTTTGTCAACACGGAGTATAATGTTAGCTGTGAGTTTTTCATATATGGCCTTTATTATTTTGAGGTGTGTTCCCTCTAACCCTACTTTGTTGAGGGTTTTTATCATGAATGGATGTTGTATTTTGTCAGATGCTTTTTCTGCATCTACTGAAACGATCAAATGGTTTTTATCCTTTCTCTTACTGATACGTATCACGTTGATTGATATGCCAATATTGAACCACCTTTGCATCCCAGGAATAAATTCCAAGTGATTGTGGTGAATGATCTTGGATTTGGTTTGCTAATACTTTGTTGAGGATTTTTGCATCTCTTGTTCATCAGAGATATTGGCCCGCAGTTCTCTTTTTATGTAGTGTCTTCATCTGGTTTTGGTCACTTTTTTACCTTGCCTCAACATTTTTTGGATTCTACACTTATGTCTACACACTAAATATGACAAACAGACATGAAAATCATAGGACTAACTTACTTTACACAGATGATCCTGGCCAAACACTTCACTTGATCAAGTTCACTATCTTCACCAATAAACTGAACTGTTTGGAAAGTATCAATTTTGTTTCATTCTGGGGTTAAATTTGGCCACATGACAAATACCTGAGAGTCTTTTCTATGCTACTGATGTCATAAAATTGTAGAATTATGTGAGTTAGCACTTTAAGAATATTTAAAATTTTATCTAGAGGTCATTTTTTGAATAGCTTTTGTCTACCAGCTATTGTTCTTCCAGTTCAATTCACATAGGGTATTTCAGTGACAGCAAAAACAGAAAGTAAATCTTACTAAAATTTAATCTTAATGCCTAGATTTCTCGGCTTGGGAAAGACAAACTACAACTAAAAAGAACAGGTATTAAAAGTTCTAAGGTGGGGCACCTGGGTGGCTCAGTAGGTTGGGTGTCTGCCTTTGGCTCAGGTCATGATCGCAGTGTCCTGGGATCGAGCCCCGCGTCAGGGTCCCTGCTCAATGGGGAGTACGCTTCTCCCTCTCCCTCTCTCCCTGCTCATTCTCTCTCAAATGAATAAATAAAATCTTTAAAAAAAGAAAAGTTCTAGGGCGCCTGGCTGGCTCAGTCAGAGGAGCATGCGATTGTGTTCTTGATCTCGGGGTCATGCGTTCAAGCCCCATGTAGGCTGTAGGGTTACTTAAATAAATAAAACTTTAAAGAAAAAAAAAAGACTTCTAATATTGGCTTTACTAAAAACTCATTATGACCAGAAAAAAGTACTATATGTGTATCAAATGAGGGGAAAAATATTAATGGATCTAGTAATTCAGTAATTACTGATATTAACAAAGAGCAAATAATACAACTTAACAATGTCTACATGTCTATTTCTTTCCCCAATTACAATAGTCCCCCCCTTATCTGTGGGAGATACATTCCAAGACCCCTAGTGGATGCCTGAAACCACAGATAGTACCAAACCCAATATATACTGTATTTTTTTCTATACATACTTATAATAAAGTTTAATGTATAAATTAGGCACAGTAAAATATTAATAACAACTAATAATAAACTAGAACAATTTTAACAATATACCATAATAAAATTTTGTGAATGTGGTCTCTGACAGTATCTTATTGAACTGTACTCACCCTTCTTTTTGTGATGCTATGAGATGATAAAACGCCTACGTGATGAGATGAAGTGAGAGGAATGGTGTAGGCATCGTGATGTAGCATTAGGCTACCACTGTACCTTCTGACAATATGTCAGAAGGAAGATCATCTGCTTCCAGACTGGGGTTGAACACGGGTAACTGAAACCATGGAAGGTGAAACCATGGAAAGTGAAACCATGGATAAGGAGAGACTACGGTATTTATGTATCCTAAGGAAAGAAGGTACCTGAAACTTAATGTTGGCATATTTCTACCTCTTTTCCTTCACAACCCCTCAAAAAAAGGGAAGCTATGAATTATTTATCCCTAACATCATTTATTTTTTCATTGACTGTAAGACTGTAATTCCATTATTTGAAAGATGACTGATAAATAATATTAAACTCAATAGTCAACCAGTCCTTTATATCAAACTAAGCAGTGCACAAGAATTTAATTTGATAAATGTTTCATGTGTCTACTACATGCTGGGCAACACAGTAAGTAAGACGAATTCCCTGCCCTCGATGGGTTTAGTCTAATCGGAGAGAAATAACATTAAAATGAAAAATGAAAAATAAAAGAAACACCTCCTATACAAACTCCACCCAGAGATGAGAACTCTGAAACTATGGGAAATAGCTTTGCAAATTTTTTTATGTATATATGTGTATATATATCCACTTTTTTTTTAAATAGAAAAACTCAAATATATTGTTCTGTAACCCTTTTCTCTACATTATTCTATGTCAATTAGTATACTTTAAAAATCACCATTTTTAATGAGCTGCAGAGTATTCCATTGTATGGGTGTGCCAAAATTTAGCCAGTACTCCGTTGCTAAATGTTCATACTTAAATTCTTTTAACTCAGGAAGGGGGACTAGGGGTATGGAAATCAGAGAAAAAAAAAATTACAGCTAGCATTATTAACAGCTGTAAATTTAGTCAAGATGTTCTATAAAGCCAACTAAGGAGTTCATCTCCAAAAGATGTGAGTTTTTAATAGTATCTTATGGAGGCATTCTAGTTAATTTATTAATCACACCAAATGAATGAATGCCCCACTCCAAAAAGAACTTGAGAATTCTTATATATTGTTCCTGTGAGTCCTAGATACTACAATTAGTGTGTCACTAAACACACACATACATACACACTCCTCCATCACAGACTTCCAGAACACAGAGCTTAATGTCTTGATATCCTTTTCTCTACCCCCTCCCCCTCCCTGCTACTGTGAATATCCTATTCCAGGCCTTAACATTACTTTTATCCCCAGTATTTGCAATGACTCTTTCTGACTTCAATCTCTGCCTGTTCCAAATAATCCTACACAATATTTCCATATAATACTTCCTGAAGCAAAATATAACCTCCTTGCTAAAAAAAAACCCTAATCCCAATTCTTAGAGAATAAATATTGCCCATCTATTATTTAATACTTTTGGTATTCGGTTTGGCCAATAATCCGCCTTCCAATCTTATCATCTACTACTTTCACTCAAACACCCTCCAGTCAAATTCTAGTATAGTACTCAGATCTTTGAAAAGCCTCCAACTTCCTACTGTATCACATATACATTTCTCTCATCTGAAATGTACATGGTCAAAGAACATTTATAGAATCAAAGATCAGGAAGGGATCTTGAAGATAACCTAGTCTACTCACCTTAATTTGCAAATGAGTAACTTCTATCACTTACACAAGAACCCACAAAACTCCCATTTTAGCACCCTTTCCATTACACAGTGGTTCTCAAACTTTAGTATGCCCAACTACCAACCCAGTGGTTATTAAAAAGACAGATTTCCGGGGCACCTGGGTGGCTCAGTTGGTTAAGCGCCTGCCTTTGGCTCAGGTCATGATCCTGGAGTCCCAGCACTGAGTCCCACATGGGGCTCCCTGCTCAGCAGGGAGTCTACTTCTCCCTCTGACCCTCTCCTCTCTAGTGCTCTCTCTCATATTCTCTCTCTCTCAAATAAATAAAAAAAAAAAAAAAAAGACTTCCTAGCCTCAACTGCAAAGATCATGCTCTAATAATACGGGCTAGGACCAGGAATCACATGTTTTTAACAAGCACTTCAGGTTACTTTTTTTTTTTAAGATTTTATTTATTCAGGTTATTTTGAAGGGGTCAAAGCTTCAGACCATAATAAGAAAATCAGAAGAAAAAGAGAATGCAGTAAGAATATGTAGACTTGCAGTACTCAGCATGTCATCTGAAATTTTCCATTTCTACCCCCACATTGGAACCTCCAAAAAAACAGCTACTCACTGCTACTTGTGCAGAATCCATAAATCTCAGTCCAAAATAGTCACTTTCAATAAGGTCCAAATGGTACATTATCTGATCAAAGAGCTCTTGTCCTTTGGCTTTTTTCTGAAATGGTAAGAAAATAAATTAATCAATAAATGACTCATAAGATCAACAAGGCTGAACTGAAGATGGTTTTAGTTATATAAGATCTAGGGGTGCCTGGGTGGCTCAGTCAGTTGAGCATCCAACTCTTGATTTCAGCTCAGGTCATGATCTCAGGGTCCTGAGATCAAGCCCCACATTGGACTCCATGCTCAGTGGGGAATCTACTTGAGATTCTCTCTGTCCCTCCCCTGGCTCATGCACACACTTTTCTCTCTCTAATAAATAAATAAATCTTTACAAGATTTATTTAAAAAAACATTACTTGCAATACCAAAAATACTACCATATATCAGGTAACGTGTAAGATACTATAATTTTCCAATAAACTACTTAAGGCCAAAAGAGAATTTGTGATCTATATGCACTTTTGCAGAAAGTGTTACTTCCAATCAACCAACAAACATCACCTTGTACTAAACACTGTACGGGGAAACTCTTGTCAATTTTTAGAGTCTCTAATTCAAAGGAGTTTTATAATGTGATTGGAAAGAAAAAACACAAGAGAACTTAGAACACTGAAGTATGAATCATGTGAAACTAACTATATACTTGCCAACAGATTTTAGAGATGAGATAGTCACAGAGACTAGAATCATCAGTGAAAACTTGGCAGATCAGCCTTAAAATGGAAAAGAATGTAAGGTAGGAAATAGCAAAAATAAAAATAGAAGGTGGGAGGAAATATGGCACGGTGAAAAAATATGGACATCAATGGAGAAGATACCAAATGGGGAGGGAGGGTCAGTAATAAGCAAAGAAACTTGTTTGGAAAAAGCAGTTTTCAAAGTGTGGTCTCAGGACCCAAAGGTTCCCCCAGATAACTTTCAAAAGATCCACAAGGTCCCAGGATTCTCCTCATGTAACTCAATCAAAATAATATATTGCCACAGAGTAAATGCAGAAGCAGAAAAGAGAACCTAAGTATGTTCTCTTAGACCAGACATTAAAGAGATAGGCAAAAGTGCCTAAGACAATGCTACGCTTCTCACTAAATTCTTTTGTTGTTTAGTGAAATAGCTGTTTTTCACAAATACTTGTATGTTAAAAAAAAAAAAACTTGTATGTTACTAGGGCGTCTGGATGGCTCACTGGGTTAAGTGTCTGACTTTGGATCAGGTCATGATCTCACGGTCCTGGGATCCAGTCCTGCGTCAAGCTCCCCACTCATCAGGGAGTTGGCTTCTCCCTCTCTCTGCCCGCACCCTGCCCCATGCTCTTGCGTGTGCGTGCACACTCTAATAAAATAAAATCTTTTTTAAAAAAATACTTGTTTGTTACTTATAACTTACAAGGGGTAAATTACTGCTGTTTTAAAATTAACCAATAGATGTTTAATTTTCCAGTTTTAATTTCTAATAAGGTAACTGTCAATAGATACAACCCACTTAAGCAAAAGCATTGTTGGGATCTCAATTTTCAACGATTTTCATACACATCCTACCCATGCCCCTCCTCCTATGTAATTTTAAATTATGATTTAGGATATTTCTTGTAAAATATATATATGCATATACACATACCACACACACTTTTTTTTTTTACTGAATCATCAATCTCTGCCTTTTAATGGACATCTTTATTTCAATTTGTATTTTTGCATTTCCTGCACTTTTTACCACCTTTCTTTCTGATAAATAAAAGTGCTAACCAAATAACCCTTTACCAAGAGAAGAACTTTATCATGCCCTCATGCCCATGATCTCCCCTTCATCCAATCCTCATGTTTATGAACATACTTTCTCTTATTTCTTTTCTCTGGTTGTGGCTAATTTTTTTTAAGACAACTATCTTTATTTTAGTATTTTGAGCATTCTTTACACTCTAACATGTATACATTACATATATCTAATAGCATCTGCTAGATTTGTTTCTCCACTCATTTGAGTTCTTCCTACAGAAATGTTCCCCATGTGGGACTTTGTATGGCTAATCTTTAAAGGTCTTCTATGTTTGAGAATAGTTTAATCATGCTCTTATACTTGAATGACAATTATCTCCTTACAAAAATTCAAGGTTCAAAGTTACTTTCTTTCAATACTCTCTTCAATATTCCAAATGTATTAACTCTTTTTCTTGCAGCTTATGTTACTGTTGAAAAGTATGGTGAAATTTGAATTCTGGTCCTTAATAATGTTATTAATTCTCTTGGTAGTAAGTTTTTAGACTTCTCTAACTCCGATAGTCTTAAATTTCAATATAATGTATCTAGGTGTGTTTTTTTTCCTTAACTGTACTTGCTGTTCTATTGGGCTTTTAAATCTGCCATCTTTTATCTCCCTTTAATTCTGGGAAAACAATTTATTTCAAGTATTTTTCCTCTATTTTTTCCTCTACTTCAAAATTCCTACCTAAGTGCTGGCACTTCTATTTTCTTTTTCTTAAACATGTTCATTTAATACAATTACTCTGATAATTATGGTTTATTTGTCCATTTAACAAATACTTAACATGGAAAAAAGTTCAGAAAGCTTTAGTAATAAGACAAAAATTGCATGGCTAAAAAATGACAGGCTAGAATTTGAATTTTGCTGTCTCCCAAGCTCCAATTCCCTAAGGGTTAAATACCACAACAAGATTTTACCTTGAATGTCAGCTCTCAGATCAATTAGATACCCCCAACTTCTTATCACAGCCTTGTCTCTAACTTGTTAATAAAATTACTCTCGATGCCTAGGTTCTCCAACTACATGGAAACTTCTGGTACACTGACCCCACTTATTAACATTCATCAGCTTCCATTTCTCCTTTTTAACATAATGTGAAATTTGTCATTTTAGCATATAGAATTCAATGCCATTAAATATATTCCCAACGTGTACAACCATCACCATATTCATTTCCAGAACTTTTCATCATACCAATCAGAAACTCGGTACCCATTAAACAACCATTCCTCACACTCCTTCCATTCAATCCCTAATAACCTCTTTCCTACTTTCTGTGGCTTGTGAATTTGCCTAGTCTACATATGTTACAAATCATACAATCTATGTCCTTTTGTGCCTGGCTTATTTCACTTAGCATAATGTTTTCAAAGTTCATCCATGTTACAGCAGGCTCCAAAATATCATTCCTTTTTATTTATTTTTTTTAAAGATTTTATTTATCCATTTGACAGAGAGAAACACAGCGAGAGAGGGAACACGAGCAGAGAGAGTAGGAGAGGGAGAAGCAGGCTCCCCACTGAGCAGGGAGCCCGATGTGGGGCTCGATCCCAGGACCCTGGGATCACAACCTGAGCCGAAGGCAGATGCTTAACGACTGAGCCACCCAGGCGCCCCTCATTCCTTTTTAAAACTGAATAATATTCCATGCATGAGGTGAGTGGAGCCAGAGTCGAGACCAGACGCCGAACTCGGGATCTGACAAGATGGCCAGGCTGCCTCGCAGGATTATCAAGGAAACCCAGCGTTTGCTGGCAGAACCAGTTCCTGGCATTAAAGCAGAACCAGATGAGAGCAACGCCCGTTATTTTCATGTGGTCATTGCTGGCCCCCAGGATTCCCCCTTTGAGGGAGGGACTTTTAAGCTTGAACTATTCCTACCAGAAGAATACCCGATGGCAGCCCCTAAAGTATGTTTCATAACCAAAATCTATCATCCTAATGTAGACAAGTTGGGAAGAATATGTTTAGATATTTTGAAAGATAAGTGGTCCCCAGCACTGCAGATCCGCACAGTTCTGCTATCAATCCAGGCTTTGTTAAGTGCTCCCAATCCAGCTGATCCATTAGCAAATGACGTAGCAGAGCAGTGGAAGACCAACAAAGCCCAAGCCATAGAAACAGCTAGAGCATGGACTAGGCTATATGCCACGAATAATATTTAAAATCGATCTGATCATCAAGTGTGCATCACTTCTCCTGTTCTGCCAAGACTTCTCGCTTTTTTGTTTGCATTTAATGGACACAGTCTTAGAAACATTACAGAATAAAAGCCCAGACATCTTCAGTCCTTCAGTGATTAAATGCACATTAGCAAATCTATGTCTTGTCCTGGTTCACCGTTGTAAAGCATGAGCAGAGGCTAGAAGTACCAACTGGATTGTTGTGAGACGTTTAAAAGCAGTGGCCCTTCTCTGCTTTTATTCATTTCCCCCATCATGGTTTGAGTATAACGCACTGTGAATGAAGGTAGTTGTCACGGTTAGCTGCAGGGGTGTGGGTGTTTTTATTACTTTTTTTGAGGGGGAGAGGTAGTTTTATTTTAATTTTATGGGCTCCTTTCCCCCTTTTTATGGTGATCTAATTGCATTGGTTAAAAGCAGCTAACCAGTTCTTCAGAATATGCTCTCTAGCCAAGTCTAACTTTATTTAGACGCTGTAAATGGACAAGCTTGATTGTTTGAACCAAAATGGGAACATTAAGCAAACATCCCAGGCCTCACTAATAACATTGTTGACTTTGCAGTCAAGTGTAGAATCCTTCCTTCAAGAAAAAAAGCTTGTGACTATTTTGTATGGCTTGTCTGGAAACTTCTGTAAATCTTACGTTTTAGTAAAATATTTTGTTATTCTAAAAAAAATAAAAATAAAATAAAAGTGAACAATATTCCATTGTAAGTATATACCATGTTGTTTATCCGTTCATCTGTTGATGAACATTTGAGTTGTTTCCACTTTTTGGCTATCGTGAATACTGTTATAAACAATGGCATACAAGTATTTGTTTGAGTCCCTGCTTTCAATTATTTTATATATATATACTTAAGAGTAGAATATGATAATTCTATGTTTAACTTTTGAGAAACTGCCCAACTGTTTTCCGTAGTAGCTGCACCATTTTGCATTCCTACCATTTCTCTACATCCTACCCAACATCTGTTATTTTCTGGTGTTGTTTTGCTTTGTTTTGTTTGATACAACCATCCTAATGCATGTGAAAGGGTATCTCATGTGATTTTGATTTGCATTTCCCTAATGCGTACTGATGTTGAGCATACTTTCATGTGCTTATTG